GCGCGTGCAGCACGCGGGCCTCCTCATCGGCGCCGCGCGGAATCCGGTCGCAGTCCCCACCGCCGCCAAGTGCACGGGCAAGGTGGCTGGCGAGCAGCAGCAGCGAGGGCCGCCGCCCCCCCACGCCTTCAACCCAGAAACGCACCACGTCGCGCTTCGACGGGCCAACCGCCTCAATCGAGCCCGGTATGTACTGTATGATGCCGATCCCGCAACTAACAACCGCGTCCACCGCCGCCTGCAGCTCGGTACTCCGCCGGCACGTCACGATGCACTGCAGCAGCAGCTCCAGGAGGCAGCAGTTGGGGTTCCTCGTCGCCTCCGCAATGAGGCTACCACGCCCAGCCGGGTAAAACATGATGCAGCTGCAGAGAATATCGCATGCCATCTGCATCGCCATGCCGGGCGGAACTACATAAGGTGGCGGCGGCGGCGGCGACGGCGACGAGCCGTACATTTGTAGCGCGCTATCCACCACAAAACGGAGAAACTCCAGCAGTGTGGACTCGACAAGTGTCTCGAACATGGCGGTCTTGAACTCCAACGGCATCATTGAGTTCTTTACTGTCTTGCACATGTCGTGGACGAAGGCGACTACCTCGAAGGCGTTGCCAACGTCGCCGAGGGCACGTTGGAATGCACGTGGAAGGTACACCTTCGATCTGCAAATATCTTCCACCAGCCGGAACTTAGTGGTCATGAGGTACGTGTTCAGCATCGACGACGGCATCGCGTCGATCTCGTCGAGGCTAAGCGGCAGCAGGTCCTTCAAGTAGCCGCAGGAGTACAGCACGTGGATGCGCGCGACGATGTCGTCCGGAAGCTCCAGTGGGTTACGAAACGTCGCGCGCCGCTCCTCAAAGCTCACAAACCCCGTAAGGCGGTCCCGCCGGCCAATTGCGTACTGCACAATGTCAACGCACAAGTCAACGAGCGAGTTTTCCACAAACTGCGAGATGATTTTGCCGTCCGTGCTAAATGGAGAGCGCAGCAGTGCCAGCGTAATTTGGCCCGTCAGGTCCATGCCGCGCACGTCGCCGTCGCGCTGGCATGTCTGGAACAACTCCGCGAGGTCCTTGAAGTACGTATTGCAGGCCCGCACGTACACGCCGAAACGCTGGGCGTTTGCCATCGCTGCGGAGAGGATCGCCGGCAGGTTCTCGCGGCACACCACCCAGTGGCTGCTGACGGACGGCGTGACGGCCCGCTCCGCGCCGTTGATCTCGCGCGCCGCAGCGCTCTTGCGGGAGCGCTGGTACGCGACGATCTCCCCGTGTATCTTCTCACAGCCCTCCTTTGTGTTGAAGCTGCACGCCATGTGGCGGCCCAACTGCGGGTCCGACCACCACAGAACGGTGTCGCGCTGCACAACGTAGGCATCCGCGAGGAGGATGGGGGTGCTCATCAGCAGCTCCGCCGGGTTGTCGATGTCGACCATCTCGAGATGCCCAACGACGCCATCCGCCGGGATGTCGTAGTCATCGTCGTCGCCGTCCATTTCGCCACTGGCATGTGGGCGCGGCACGATGGAGACCACGCCGACGCCCATCTCCGTCCACGAGTCATCATCAGACATGGTCGCGTACAGCTTCGCCTTCGTGAGGGCGTCGGTACCGGTTTCCATCTCTATCGCGCGGTTGCCTTGATGCTGCGCCTTCGTTTGCTAATACGCCGGTAGGATACTTGCAGCGGAACGACAAAAAGAGAGACACGACGCGGTGGAGAGGAAAGGAAGAGGACGGGTGGCCACAACCGCTTACCCACCACACCGACACACAGACACACAGACAGTATTCCTATTCTACAGTACAAGACCCCGCACAGCACGCTCTCCTTACATCATGGCACGGGCGGCAGTCTAACGCGCGGTGTGTGGCCGCCTGTCGCGTTCACTCGGGCTCCGATCCGCCCGCGCCACGGCACGGCCGCGCTCGATGAGGTCGTCAACCTGCGTCACAAGGTTGTCGAGATGACGCAACCTCGTGTCGTTCTTGAAGCGCTGTTCATTCAGCATCCTTGAGTACCGCACCATCGACCGGGCCACGTCGTCGGTGGAGACGGCGCGGCGCGGTGGCGTACGGAAAGCCGCCGCCGGCAACGAACGCACGACAGCTGGCGACGCGCAGCCGCTCCCCACAGCCGTCTCGTCCGGCTGCCGCCCCGCTGGCTCCTCCTCCGCGCCGCAAGGCACCAGCGCGCAGAGTCTCTCGTCGATTAGTCCGCAGTTCGCCTCCTCCACGACGAGGGCGGCGCTCTCCAGCACCATCTCGCAGCTGTCCGTCGGGCCGCAGCTGTCCATGGGGGGGTCCGGTATTCGCTCACGCACGACCGCCACCGCCGCCCTGTGAGCCGCACGCTCCACCTCGAGTGCGCTGCGCAATTCATCGCACTCCGCCACGTGGCGCCGCTCTGCAGCCTGCAACTGGACCTCAAACCGCTGTGCCTCCCACCGTAGGGCGTCCAGCTGCTGCTGTGCTTCAGCGGCAACTCCCGACAGCCTTCGCTGGCCCGCGTCTAAAAGGACACCGGCTGCAGTGAAAAACGCCGCGTGGCGGCTCACCACGTCTTCCTCGAGGGCCAGCAGCACGCGCCCGTACTGCCGCACGGTGTCGTGCAATAGCACCCCAACCTCACGCTCATGATCCGCTCGGGTGGACTCGGCTGCCTGCAGCATGTGCGCTATCTGCTGCTGCTGCTGCTGCTCATCTTCCAGTCGCTGCCGCAACACGCGCACCTCCTCCACGTGACGGAGTCTCTCCTCCTCACGGGCAGCGTCACTGCGCTCCACTGCGGCCAACAGCGACGCGATGCGCCCGGCCATCTCCGCCACTTCGTCCCGCCTGCGTGCTTCGCAGGCCTCGTGCTCTTCCCGCAGTTCGTGGGATATTGCCGTCGCCTTCTCCCGCGTGGCGTGCAGCGTACGCATCAGCGCCGCCACCTCGGACTCATGCTCCGCTCGCAGCACACGCACTGCGTCACTAGCGGCGGACTCCTGCTCCTGCTGTTCCTGCTGTTGCTGACGCAACATTCTGCATGCCAGCTCCTGCCGCTCAGCTAAACACTGCAGATCCGCTTCGGAACGGCGCAGCAGCGCGTCCGAGAAGCGGTGCACGTCCGCCAGCATGCCCGTGGAGGCGCGGAACGCTGCGTGGCGGCCCGCCACGTCTTCCTCGAGGGCCAGCAGCACGCGCCCGTACTGCCGCACGGTGTCTTGCAACAGCGCCCCAACCTCACGCTCATGATCCGCTCGGGTGGACTCGGCTGCCTGCAGCATGTGCGCCATCTGCTGCTGCTGCTGCTGATCATCCAGTCGCTGTCGCAACACGCGCACCTCCTCCACGTGACGGAGCCTCTCCTCCTCACGGGCAGCGTCACTGCGCTCCACTGCGGCCAACAGCGACGCGATGCGCCCGGCCATCTCCGCCACTTCGTCCCGCTTGCGTGCTTCACGCATTTGCCGCTGCTGCAACCCGATGTTATCGACAGCACCCGCAGCCGCGAGCCTGCCTTCGAGGAACGCTTGGTACTGCAGCAGTTCGTCGACTACATCGCTGTGCTGCTGTCTCTGAGCCTCGAGCGACTCTGCGGCGGTAAATCGCATAACATCGATCACGTCTCGCACGTGCTCGGCCAGCGCTGCCCTCTCACTGGACAGAAGGCGCATCGCCTGCTCGAGTGGTGATGCAGCAGTAGAAGCAGTGTCCGAGGCCTCCTGCGCCCACAACGGCTCCCGCAGGCATGCAACGACATCGCTGCAGTCAGGTGTCGTAACCACCGGGGCAGAGCGACACTCCAGCATCAACTGTTCGCGACCAGCGCACCAACCAGCTGCTGTTGCTGTGAATGCAGCCCACAACGCGCCACAGCGCTGCAGATCGGCAAGTACATGCCTGTCACGCTCAGTGCGCGCGATTTCAGCCGCATTTTGTGCCTCCGCCAGGTCGTCTGTCAGGCGCTGCGCCACAGCAGCGTAGCGGCCCGCCACGGCGTCCACGGTGGCGAGGAGCATGCCAAGTTTGGCGTCGCACAGTGCCGTGATGCACCTCGTTGAGTCGTCAAGCCAAACCGCAGCAGCGGTGGCGACCGACGCAGTGTAGCGGGCATCGCATCGCCGTTTTCGCTGCTCGGCAAAAAGAAGCCATCGGCCGAAGGCGTCGCGAGCACAATACTCGACGATGAGGCGCCCCAACGCCTGTAGTTGAGCGTCAGCATCAGCCATGGACGTCTGTATCGCGCGCTCCTGCAGCGCCGCCACCGCCGCGGTGTGCAACGCGTGGAGGTTATGCCGCACACACAACTCGTCGTGGCGCAACGAGTGACGGGTCGCGTGCTCCATCGCGACGAGGCGGTCCACCCGCGCAGCGCACACATGCCGCTGCTGCTGCAGTCGCGCCTCCTCCGCCACCCCTCTCCACACCTCGACGTCAGCCTCACATCGCTCCATCTCCTTCTGCAGCCAGGCCCCACGCTGCGCCTCCACCAGGAGCTCCGCACGCATCTGTGCGGCCCGCGCCTCTACCCTCACGTTCGCGGCCTCAACACAGATGGACTGCCGCGCTGTTGTCTCCAGCTCAGCAACGCCGCGACGGCCGCACGTCTCCTCCCACAGCAGCAGTTCTACTGCGCCACGCCTCTGGCACTCTTGCCGCACGTGCCACTCCGCCTCCTCTCGCTCAGCGTGCGCCGCCCGCAGCATCCGCGC